ACGCCGGCATGACAAACATCACGYAACGCTACACAAAGTTCCAAAAAAAAGATGTCACACCACAAAGRAATGTCACGCAAATGTCACACAACATTTTCAATTGTAGCGTGAGGCCAGACGTTACATACATTATCAAAAATCACTAGACTAGCTATCGATAAATATTTAATTYTAAGCATTGTTTCCTTAGGAGCTACATCAACTATGTGTCCAAGACCAGCCGACTTTTAAAATATCGAAAATAACCGCAACGAGCAAAACGAAAATCCCAATTTTAAGCCACAAAGGCGTAGTGCTTGCGTTACTCGATGTCACGCATTCCTTCTTGATTCCGCTGACCACACCTTTAGGTAACGGCTCAACAAGTCCAGGCGAAAGCACATCCGATTGCTTGTTAACTGTGGCTTTCAGGAAGTGCTTCCCCGATGACGTTATTTGAACTTGGATAACCTTACCCATRAAGTCGCCTTCATCTTTCTTAACTAGAACCTTTGAACAAATAAAAACCTCGTTTACACGAACGGTCGGATTAAGGAGAAAACAAATGGATGATTGCGCTAATTGAACGCTTGTGAACTAATACAAAAAAGCCTCGCTTATGCGACCGGTCGGGTTATGTGGATACCTGATCGTACGACTTGTTGTGTCCGACAAAGTGGATCCCATCATGTGACTCCTCTGTAATCAAAATATCTTGACACCATCCCACCTGAAAGGAAAACATGCAGTTAGGTAATAGTACTTACACGCTTATAAGAACCCATTTTTTTCAAATTTAGCCTAAACAGGTTCTTATGTAAATGGTGCAATTTAGGCTACACAGGTTCTTAAATATAGGTTCATATTTATCCCTTATGTAATGAAAATTTACAAGGTTTTCAAACATTATTTATACCAAATTTAGAAGTGTATGCATGTTCAAGTTCAGTACAGTAGTAATGAGTATGATTTTTTTTTACATGACGATTTTTGAGGTTAATTTCTATAAGAACCTTTCTTTAAGAACCTGTTTCAAATTTTAGGCTAAAAACGTTCTTATGTAAATGGTTTTAATTACCTTGTTATCGTAAGTAGTGTAAGAGTGAAAAAGCTTGGAAACTTCACGCGTCCTCTTCTTYACCTGTATGAAAGATAGGAAATCGTGTATAATKACAGKCCTTCTGCGTGACTTGRTAATCACTGCGTGACTTAATGATCACTGCGTGACCGCATTAAATGTCACGCCTTACCTCTTCCGTGGGAAGTCGTTTCATSCGYGCTGCAGGCGTTCCTGGTCTTGGATAAAACTGATTAATGAAGAGACTTGGAAACCGGTACTTGTCTACAAGATCCATCGTCTTCTGGAAGTCCTCGGKCGTTTCCGTTGGAAATCCACATATTAGGTCAGTTGCTATGGTGACATTGGGTACCCTGTGTTTAATGAAGAGCAATGTTACCACTAACCGACATTCCCTACGAATTTCTGTTTATTTTTCAACAAATTAAGTACATCGCCTGTAATATTAACAAAAGTGTGGTCTATATTATCCCTTTATGCTCCATGAATAGAGATATTGTAAGAATCGACCTTAAAAAGGATGGAAACTAGGGGGATTGATACGAGAAGCCACMACCGCATTGCATGCTGGTTGATCACGGTCCTTTAAGCCCTATCTAATCTACACGTACAATTTGGATACAACATGGGACACTTCCATAACAGTAATTTAACGACTTTTTTTCTAATGTAATCGGCCGCAATACAATGAACCCTTGTTATAACGGACACCTTTCGACCGTGACTAAGTGTCCGGAATAACGAGTGTCCACTTTTGAAGTGCCTCCGTATTGACAGTGCTTTTGAAATATCGGGGTGTCCCCAASACAAGACTTGACTGTTCGCTATAGCGGACACACAATTACAATTACGAAGGTGGCCTTTATAAAGAGAGTTGACGGAATTCAAATTACCTTTCCCGCAAGAAGTCCACGATATGGTGAAAGTCCTTAGCRAAGTACTCTCTCTTCATATCAGACAGGACATCGTCTGAACCGCTTTGCACAGGGCAATGAAGAAASGAATATACTTTAGGATGGTTGAGAATTTTAGCCATTTCCTGTGAAAAAAAATATCGTATTACTAATTAGCCATTCGATAAAAAGAGCGAAAGATGTGCGAACAAACAGCAAACAAAGTGCGAACGAAAGTAGGAGGAATGCCGAACGAAAAGCGAATGAAGGCCGAGCAAAGTACGAACGAAAGCCGAATAAATTGTAAACAGACAATGCATGAACAAGGACGAACGAACAAACTGCGAATAAAGCGCGATGAAACGACGAACAAAATACGAACAAACCGCTAGCAAACTGCGATTAAATTACGAAAAAAAACGACCAAACTAAAGACAAGAATGCAACACTAAATGTAAAAATATACAACCTACATGTAAAACTGACCAACGAGCAAACATCGAACACACTACGAATAAACTCCGATCAAATAACGATAGAGACACGAAAATATACAGCACCATGTAAAAACAAACGAGCAAGAATCGAAAACACTACGAATAAACTCCGATCAAATAATGATAGACGCAACGATAGATTACCTCCAAATGCTCGAGAATGTAGGGGGGGTTAGTCATTCCAATACGAAGGCGACCACCCTCKGGAATTACTTCCACYAACTGCCACAGCAATGACGGCAGAGTTTCACCAATATCGCGACCGTATGCCCCGGTGTCTTCTGATGTCAGCCATATTTCTACCACACCCTCTACATAACATACAAAATTATTGTATCCTCTGGTGCATAACATACAAAATTATTGTATCCTCTGGTGTATGACATACAAAATTATTGTACCCTCTGGTGTATAATATACAAAATT